AAAAAAAAATACTATAGAAGCCAATGGGTGCCATCAGCTGTTTGGCTCCCAACATCATCTTTTGTGTTCAACAGAAGCTCATACAGGTTTAGAACAACTTGAGGGTGAGAAATGATGACGGTTTGCATGTTTGGGTGAACTATGCACAGTTTAATGTGGATTCTGTGACTCCAGCAGGTGGCGCTGAAGAGAAACACAGACGCCACTGATTTAAAGGGACAGTTCATCTAAAAATGAAACTCCTGTCATCCTTTCTCACCCTCAAGTAGTTCTTCCAAACCTGTAAGATGATGTTTTGAAGAACGTTGGGAACCAAACGGTTGACGGCAGCCACCATAAGTATGGGAGAAAAAAAAAATACTATAGAAGCCAATGGGTGCCATCAGCTGTTTGGCTCCCAACATCATCTTTTGTGTTCAACAGAAGCTCATACAGGTTTAGAACAACTTGAGGGTGAGAAATGATGACGGTTTGCATGTTTGGGTGAACTATGCACAGTTTAATGTGGATTCTGTGACTCCAGCAGGTGGCGCTGAAGACAAAACACAGACGCCATTGATTTAAAGGGACAGTTCACCCAAAAAAGAAACTCCTGTCATTCTTTCTCACTCTCAAGTAGTTCTTCCAAACCTGTAAGATGATGTTTTGAAGAACGTTGGGAACCAAACGGTTGACGGCAGCCACCATAAGTATGGGAGAAAAAAAAAATACTATAGAAGCCAATGGGTGCCGTCAGCTGTTTGGCTCCCAACATCATCTTTTGTGTTCAACAGAAGCTCATACAGGTTTAGAACAACTAGAGGGTGAGAAATTATGACGGTTTTTAGAACAACTAGAGTGTGAGAAATGATGACGGGTTTTCATGTTTGGGTGAACTGTGCACGGTTTAATGTGTGACTCCACCAGGTGGCGCTGAAGAGAAACAGAGACGCCACTGATTTAAAGGGACAGTTCACCCAAAAAAGAAACTCCTGTCATCCTTTCTCACTCTCAAGTAGTTCTTCCAAACCTGTAAGATGATGTTTTGAAGAACGTTGGGAACCAAACGGTTGACGGCAGCCACCATAAGTATGGGTTTGGCTCCCAACATCACCTTTTGTGTTCAACAGAAGCTCATACAGGTTTGGAACAACTTGAGGGTGAGAAATGATGACAGTTTTCATGTTTGGGTGAACTATGCACGGTTTAATGTGGATTCTGTGACTCCAGCAGGTGGCGCTGAAGACAAAACACAGACGCCACTGATTTAAAGGGACAGTTCACCCAAAAAAGAAACTCCTGTCATCCTTTCTCACTCTCAAGTAGTTCTTCCAAACCTGTAAGATGATGTTTTGAAGAACGTTGGGAACCAAACGGTTGATGGCAGCCACCATAAGTATGGGAGAAAAAAAAAATACTATAGAAGCCAATGGGTGCCGTCAGCTGTTTGGCTCCCAACATCATCTTTTGTGTTCAACAGAAGCTCATACAGGTTTAGAACAACTTGAGGGTGAGAAATTATGACGGTTTGCATGTTTGGGTGAACTATGCACGGTTTAATGTGGATTCTGTGACTCCAGCAGGTGGCGCTGAAGACAAAACACAGACGCCATTGATTTAAAGGGACAGTTCACCCAAAAAAGAAACTCCTGTCATTCTTTCTCACTCTCAAGTAGTTCTTCCAAACCTGTAAGATGATGTTTTGAAGAACGTTGGGAACCAAACGGTTGACGGCAGCCACCATAAGTATGGGAGAAAAAAAAATACTATAGAAGCCAATGGGTGCCGTCAGCTGTTTGGCTCCCAACATCATCTTTTGTGTTCAACAGAAGCTCATACAGGTTTGGAACAACTTGAGGGTGAGAAATGATGAAGGTTTGCATGTTTGGGTGAACTATGCACGGTTTAATGTGTGACTCCAGCAGGTGGCACTGAAGAGAAACACAGACGCCACTGAATTCATCAGGATAACTTGAAGATGAGCAGCAGCTCCTCGCGGTCGATGCAGCTGCTGCCGTCCACGTCGAACAGCTTGAAGTACCAGCGCAGTTTCTGCTGAACGCCACCCTTCAGAACCAAACTCAGAGCCGCCACGTACTCCATGAAATCAATGCAGCCGTCCTGATGACAACATGTAATAATACATAACCAATTACGATACTGCCAACAGTTATGATCTGTTATGGATGCAAGTAAAGTGTCTTTCAAAGTTTAAGGCTTCAAATAACTTTTGTGGCAATGTCAAAATATGGGAGAAATAATGTTCCATCGTTATTCAGCATAATATTATGTAAGAATAAAACGACATACTTATTCTGACCTGTACTTATTTATATATGCAAAAGAATAGGTGATCATACTAAATTATTATTATGTTGTAAATGATTAAAAACTTTTTGCTGACAAATGGGTAAAACCTAGTGGCTAGAAGGATAGTAACAAAGATTTTGTAGGGGCTGCATGGAAACCTTTAAATAAAGTGTCATCCAATGATTCTTGATGATTTTTTGGAATATCAACTACACTGAATGACATTTTAGTGGATGTCTTCTGTAAATCATCAAGTTTGTTTGTTTGTGTATTTATTTATCTATCTATTTATTCTCTTAACGGTCACCTTTTTGAACATAGACGTGAAAATGCACACAATTTTGTTCATCTGAACTTAAATTGTTATAATTCATGAATATGGGCCTAAGGTTGGTCTCTTTTTAAAGAAGCCAACCAGCAGATTGAAATATATTTTGGAATCTAAAATTGCTATAAAATGTCTAATTATGTTCCAAATTTGAAGTTGATATCACAAAAAAAAAAATAGGATCCTGTGAGATTTTGTTTAGGTACTATGAAAAAAAAGATGTGTTTTCCTGTCACAAATGTATACATTTCTGTCACTATACTACGTCTAATCACAAAAATAGTCACCAAATATGAAACCTTCAGACTTTTCAAACGATAATCGTTTTGTCAAGATTAGAAAAAGAATGTGTTTATAAAATGTTGTAGTGAATGTTGTAATATGAGGCTTGACACCACCAACTAGTGCTGCTGAAAGTATTTAAAGTGACATTTCCATGGAAAAGCAATGTCTGATTTCAATGCATTTTGAGTGTTTAAGCTTTTGAAAGATATCTATTTTATTTATTTATGCATGTATTTATTTATTTAGCTTTTGGGGGAAAAAAAACATCTTAAAATCAAAATGCACATGAATAATTCACACATGTTGACATGTTTTATGTGTTTTATGGCACTGTGAGCAATAATGCTGTAACTGATGACGCTAAAAATCTAGATAGTCTTGTATTTTTCATGGAAAGTGCCGTGACGTAAATTGAAGCCGCCGTGATCAGGAATAAAGTAGAGCGGTCACTGTATAAACTCCCGAGTTAACCGGATTACAGGATCTGCTGGGTCTTAGTGAAGATCTCTGAGCTTCTGCATCGCTGATGTTTGGCCTGAGTTTACTATATTAACACAGATCTCGTTACCCACAATCCCCAGCTGAACTGAAGCAGAAGGAACGTTTGTTTGTTTGTTTATGATTTAACGCCGTGCGAGCTACCTCGGCTGTATTCATGGCGAGAACGAGGTTAGTTAAGTTCAATTAAGTTTTTTAATTTGATCTTAGATTTAAAAAATTCTAAAACTGAATCTGGCCTTACTTCATTCAAAATCTTTCCATAAAAGTCAACAGAAAAATAAAGAGTTCTGACAGACTTTAAACTATTACAATCCATCAAAACATAAAGGAGGATCTTGAAGCAGAAGGACGCTGGCCAAAGAGTTCATGAGTTCAACCCTCATAACTTTATATTTTTCAATCTATTTATATAGCGTTTTTCACATTACACATCAGTTATCTGTTAAGTTTTGTTTGGGATGCATTGAAGAATCAGGTTTATACTTCATAAAATGCCCTAATTTCATGAGAACTGATTATCAACACAACTTTAACCTGATACAAATCCAAATTTTCCCTAACAATAACCTCTCTACAATAAAAGATGGTATTTTGAAGAATGCTGATAACCAAACAAATGACGGTACCCATTGACTTCCATAGTATTTTTTCCACACTATGTAAGTCAATGGCTACCATCAACCATTTGGTTACTGGCATTCTTCAATAAATCTTCCATTGTGTTGGTAACTAAGCAGTTAACGGTAGCTATTGACTTCTATAGTACGGAGAAAAATACTGTGGAAGTCAATGGGTACCGTCAACTGTTTGGTTACCAAACATTTAAAGGGATAGTTCACCCAAAATGAAAATTCTGTCATTTACTCATGTTGTTCCAAACTTGTTGAACACAAAAGAAGATATATTTTGAATCATGTTGGTAGCCGAATATTTGACGGTACCCATTGACTTCCATAGTTTTTTTTTTCACACTATGCAAGTCAATGGCTATACCGTCAACCATTTGGATACAAGCATTCTTCACTAAATCTTCCATTGTGTTGGTAACCAAGCAGTTGATGGTAGCCTTTGACTTCTATAGTATGGAGAAAAATACTATAGAAGTCAATGGGTACCGTCAACTGTTTGTTTACCAACATTCTTCAAAATATCTTCTTTTGTGCTGGTTTGGAACGACATGAGGGTGAGTAAAGTGAGAATGAGGATGCACAAATATGCACAAGTATAATAGTAACATTTAGTAAAACAGTAAATAATAAGTAGAAAAATAACAGACTGTCTTACGTCGTTTATGTCGAACGTCTTGAACATGGTCTTGACGTACTCGTTGGATGTTTCTGACAGATTCTTCAGGCCGAAGAACTTCTTGAACTCGTAGAAGGTGAGCTGACCGGACGGACACTCGGTCATGAACTTGCGGTACCACTGATGGGAATGACATGCGCTCAGCTCCTTCACTGACATGCTGGAGGAGTTTCCCATGATGCTTCAGCAGAGATCTGTCACCGCTTGCCCTCGCCGGCACATACTGGCACACTGGCACACGGGCTCGGCTCAGCGTGCAGGACAGGGCGAGGAGGAGGGTGTCCCGTCCAATTACCGCTGACGTCACGCCCTGCTGTTCTTTTCCGCTGTGGAAAATACAGCGAATTACCTCCTGATTACAGAGAATCCTAAATACAGTGTGTCAGCACGCCCCACTGACCTGAGATCACGACCTCTGTCTGTCTGTCAAACAGCAGTCTGATGCTAGTGCATGGATCCCAATTGATTCATTTTTGTAAACAAATTCACAAACAATAAACTATCTATCTATCTATCTATCTGTCTATCTGTCTGTCTGTCTGTCGTCTTACTATCTATCTATCTATCTATCTGTCTATATATATATATCTGTCTGTCTGTCTGTCTGTTTGTCTGTCTGTTTGTTTGTCTGTCTATTGTCTTACTATCTATCTATCTATCTATCTGTCTGTCTGTCGTCTTACTATCTATCTATCTATCTATCTGTCTGTCTGTCGTCTTACTATCTATCTATCTATCTATCTGTCTGTCTGTCGTCTTACTATCTATCTATCTATCTATCTGTCTGTCTGTCGTCTTACTATCTATCTATCTATCTATCTGTCTGTCTGTCGTCTTACTATCTATCTATCTATCTATCTGTCTGTCTGTCGTCTTACTATCTATCTATCTATCTATCTGTCTGTCTGTCGTCTTACTATCTATCTATCTATCTATCTGTCTGTCTGTCGTCTTACTATCTATCTATCTATCTATCTGTCTGTCTGTCGTCTTACTATCTATCTATCTATCTATCTGTCTGTCTGTCGTCTTACTATCTATCTATCTATCTATCTGTCTGTCTGTCGTCTTACTATCTATCTATCTATCTATCTGTCTGTCTGTCGTCTTACTATCTATCTATCTATCTATCTGTCTGTCTGTCGTCTTACTATCTATCTATCTATCTATCTGTCTGTCTGTCGTCTTACTATCTATCTATCTATCTATCTGTCTGTCTGTCGTCTTACTATCTATCTATCTATCTATCTGTCTGTCTGTCGTCTTACTATCTATCTATCTATCTATCTGTCTGTCTGTCGTCTTACTATCTATCTATCTATCTATCTGTCTGTCTGTCGTCTTACTATCTATCTATCTATCTATCTGTCTGTCTGTCGTCTTACTATCTATCTATCTATCTATCTGTCTGTCTGTCGTCTTACTATCTATCTATCTATCTATCTGTCTGTCTGTCGTCTTACTATCTATCTATCTATCTATCTGTCTGTCTGTCGTCTTACTATCTATCTATCTATCTATCTGTCTGTCTGTCGTCTTACTATCTATCTATCTATCTATCTGTCTGTCTGTCGTCTTACTATCTATCTATCTATCTATCTGTCTGTCTGTCGTCTTACTATCTATCTATCTATCTATCTGTCTGTCTGTCGTCTTACTATCTATCTATCTATCTATCTGTCTGTCTGTCGTCTTACTATCTATCTATCTATCTATCTGTCTGTCTGTCGTCTTACTATCTATCTATCTATCTATCTGTCTGTCTGTCGTCTTACTATCTATCTATCTATCTATCTGTCTGTCTGTCGTCTTACTATCTATCTATCTATCTATCTGTCTGTCTGTCGTCTTACTATCTATCTATCTATCTATCTGTCTGTCTGTCGTCTTACTATCTATCTATCTATCTATCTGTCTGTCTGTCGTCTTACTATCTATCTATCTATCTATCTGTCTGTCTGTCGTCTTACTATCTATCTATCTATCTATCTGTCTGTCTGTCGTCTTACTATCTATCTATCTATCTATCTGTCTGTCTGTCGTCTTACTATCTATCTATCTATCTATCTGTCTGTCTGTCGTCTTACTATCTATCTATCTATCTATCTGTCTGTCTGTCGTCTTACTATCTATCTATCTATCTATCTGTCTGTCTGTCGTCTTACTATCTATCTATCTATCTATCTGTCTGTCTGTCGTCTTACTATCTATCTATCTATCTATCTGTCTGTCTGTCGTCTTACTATCTATCTATCTATCTATCTGTCTGTCTGTCGTCTTACTATCTATCTATCTATCTATCTGTCTGTCTGTCGTCTTACTATCTATCTATCTATCTATCTGTCTGTCTGTCGTCTTACTATCTATCTATCTATCTATCTGTCTGTCTGTCGTCTTACTATCTATCTATCTATCTATCTGTCTGTCTGTCGTCTTACTATCTATCTATCTATCTATCTGTCTGTCTGTCGTCTTACTATCTATCTATCTATCTATCTGTCTGTCTGTCGTCTTACTATCTATCTATCTATCTATCTGTCTGTCTGTCGTCTTACTATCTATCTATCTATCTATCTGTCTGTCTGTCGTCTTACTATCTATCTATCTATCTATCTGTCTGTCTGTCTGTCTGTCTATTGTCTTACTATCCATCCATCCGTCCGTCCGTCCGTCCGTCTGTCTGTCGTCTTACTATCATCTATCTATCTATCTATCTATCTATCGTCTTACTATCATCCATCCGTCCGTCCGTCCGTCTGTCTATGTATCGTCTTACTATCCATCCATCATGTATCTATCTATCTATCTATCTATCGCTAGCACATGGTTCCCATTTGGTTATTTTTTTGTGAAGTTCTGGGGGGGAAAGGTTAGTTGTGCAACTAATATGTTCTCCAAACACTGCAGGGAAGTTTTTGTGTGACAACCTAATAAAACATATGCAAAACATATTCTAATGGTTATGGTCAACTGTATATAACCCTATAAAGCTGAGTGAAGCGACACAGATAGCGTGTGATAAATGAATGCAGGTTTATTGTGGTTTGGACACGCACTGGCTCCTCCACTTCACCGGGTTGCAGGCCTGCAGGCCGTTGCGTTTGCGTCTGTGGTCTGTGCGCCAGGAGAAGCCGAAGCCACACGCGGGTTTCTGAGCCGTGCAGAAGGGTCTCAGAGAGTTTCCGCTGGTGTCTGGATGGGTCTGGAGACGCTCAGGAGGAGCGTTAGGAGATCTGATGGAGCCTTGCATCTCCACTAAAGCCTGGTTAATGTATGAACACTTGAGCATCTCAAACTAATATCAGAAATACTGAATGTAAACGAGGTTCTTACCCAAGTCCGCTGGGTTTCTGTTCCCGTCTGCATCTCCATCATATCAGCAGAAGTACTCGTCTTCTGTCTGTCCATCAGCGTCTGATCTGAGTTCAGTGTCTGTGATGACATCACAGAGACGTCACCATGACAACGCATTCATTCTAGAATCTCCACCAGTTCTCAGGTAACCAACGAACACAAATGGATTTTTCATAGTTAATGCAGACATTCTGAAAATAAGAATATTGGATTAGTTAACTTACAATGTCCAGTGAGTGTACTTGCTTAATTTGACAAAATTACAGCTTGATTAAAAATGATGCACAAGTGAAAATATTGCTTATAAGTGATGTTTATCTTTTAAACAAGTGCATTTATTTCTAATGAATCTTTATTTGGAGCAAATGTTGCTATGGTAGAAAATTATATATATATAAAGGTTTAAGTAATATGCATTATATTAACAAGAGCTTTAAAAATTATACATGATATATTTCAAGAAAATACAAAAGAGCCATTAAATTTTGGAATGTCTACATCGCTTCTAATGGTTTTAAAAAGCACGTAGTGATGGTGACTCCCATTTAGCGTTGCTAAATGATTCACTCCAATCGGATCGCGAATCATTTGAGTCAGATCGAACTTCGGGTTCACGAGTCATTTTTTTCTTCTGATTTCTTTTTTTTTTTTTTATGAAACCGTACAAAACATCAACCATTAAGGCAGTACAGTTATAAAAACAAAAAGAGAAAAGAAAGAAAAAAAGAAAACACATACAAATCCCTTAAGAAAACCATGGTTTTATTAGTAAAAGTGTAGTAACAATGTCTCATTTATTTATTTATTTTGCATAACCACAGTTATCACCGCTTTGGGACGAACATAACTTAGTTTCATGTGGATCAAATCTGATTAAAGAAAAAGATAGATTTAGAGCCAGATTTCTGTTTATGTATGTGAAATTTAGCTAGCATTAAGTGATATTTTCCTATATTCTCTTTTGAGTAGTCAAACAATCCAAAGAAAACATCTCCTGAAGCTGGTTGCCTTAAACTTTTAAAGTTTTCTCAACTTTTTATTTTTTTTACAGTGTAGCAATAATTTTGATCAAAGAATTAAATGTCTGTTGTCGGCTGTTACGTCCCCACCAATGCTAAATTAAACCTACACCCTTGACGGTAGCCAAAGTCTTACACAGAATGGAAAAAAACACTATGGAAGTCAATGGCTACCGGCAATGATCAGGTTCCCAACATTCTTCAAAATATCTTCGCTTGTTTAACAGAAGCTCGTGAAACTCATGCGGGTTTGGAACAACTTGAGGAACAGTAACTGACAGTGTTAATGTACTTTAATAAAGCACCTTAGGCATCATCGATCATAAATCATGTGAAGCATGTGAGAAACGTTCCTGAGAAACCCGAGCAGCCGAACGCCGGAACTCTGCGACGCATTGTGAACATTCTCAGATCGCCATGACGACCTGGAGGAACAGGACAGACAGGTTTGCATGTTCTGTTGCCATGCCGACTGGGAATGATGGGATATGCCCCTCTCGCTCTATGCTAAGATTCACTATCGCTCACACTGACTCTCTGGAATCGATGATTCACTGATTCATTTCATTTCTCCGCTTTTCAAAGCATCTGAAAACCATAAAAGGTATTTGAAATACATTTAATGGACTGTAGAGTCTATTCTCAGACACTATTATATATATATATATATATATATATATAAACAAACACACACACACACACACACTCTCACTCGCGTGCGCACGCACACACACTCTCACTCGCACACACACACACAGTCAGTCACACACACACACACACACACACACACACTCAGAGAACTGAATAGCAGCAATAATATATAAAATATTTATAATTCATAAAATACAATAGGTTTGAGTTAATGTAATAATTTAAACTATCAATCATATAATTTATAAACATGAGTTGTCTATTTATTATACATTAAACAAGTATCTAAATATTATATTAAAATAATTATGAAAAAATTTGACTTGTTTCATTTAGATAAAATGTAGGCCTAATACTAAATATTACATATTAAATCAATTATACATAAATATTTAAATTTAACAAAACCGCTTGACTGAACTTAATATAATTTATTTATATCTAAATATTATAGTAAACATATTACAAGCCTTAGCTATAACATGTTAATTATTGACAAAATGTAATATATTATTTAGATATTACATACTAAGTCAAATTATAGTTTATTAAAGATGTAAATGTAAGTTATTATATACATAGAAAGAGAGAGTACTAAAATTGTTATTATATATAAAAATTAATAATATACGTTTAAAAAGTCCTTTGCAAGTCTTTACACACAAACAAAGCATAGTAATTGCTGGAAAGATTTATACAAACATTAGCACTGTAAATCTGGCCCCTGATTCCTGAACGAGACTCAAGTTCACCATGACAGCAAATATTTGGGTTTCATTCAGAGAGCAGAGTGAGTAACACTGAGGGGGTGTGTGTGTGTGTGTGTGTGTGTGTGTGCGAGTGAGTGTGTGTGTGTCTGTGCGCGAGTGTGTGTGTGTGTGCGAGTGTGTGTGTGAGTGTGAGAGAGAGAGTGTGTGTGTG